TCAAAAATAGTACCATTCGATAGAGAATTTAATTCTGCATCTAACACAATCAACTAGCAATTCAACACAGGTTGGAGAGCGAATATCAGCAAGAAATAGTCGAATCCGCTGCTAAGTTTCCTTACATCCAATCATTTAATTTTAATGATCTTATTTTTATTCGATTATCATATTGTTGTTTCATTTGATATGCTGAATTATTACGTCTTACCTGACCTGCTGGACGTCTGTCACCTAATTTTTCTAATTGTCTAGCGCGCTATTCATTTAAATCATCATTATTATTTTCATCATAAACATATGGTTGAAATTTCTATTTTACAGTCATACTGATGGTGGTAAGGGGCTGTTCGTTTTCGAGTAGATTCTGTCGGATATTTTTGACTGAAAGCGCGCGGAAGGGTCGAAGTCATCGAATGTGATGGCTATGATGACTTTTGAACAGACTGGAGTGATAAAAGTTGGTGCACTGATTTCAAGTCTTGTACGGACTAGTCTTTTCCACTAAAACACGAAACTGTTTTCTCCGATAAGTATAGTTCAAAGATTATGACTGAATTTTTATCAGCGGCTAAAAGAAGGAAGACAATGAAATTATGCATCTCGAGCTCAGATCAGTTTACGTAGAAAAATCCCGATTGTCACGCTTTAATAGTGCATTTATAAGGGTAGAAAATGTGTAACAAAGACTGTCTTTCGATAGCTCAGTGGTAAGAGCGATTGTCATGAATATCACTGTCCTGGGTTCGATTCCCATCAGAGGTGCCTACTTTTCTTTCTTCTTTGAGCTGCTGTTAAGAATTCAGTTATTTTCAAATTTTAGCTCATACACAAAAGGTCAAGGCCTCTGGAACATTACGAGGATTTATAAAATGTTTTTTATTGAACTTTCAAACATGCTCGACCTAAAAAGGAGAGCATCTAAGCGTCCTAAGCATAACTGCATCACTCTACACCATCGTCAATCGTTTTCAAATAGTATCAGTTCTTATCAATCTCAGGATCGGCTCTAAACGTGACGGGACAACATAAAAAAATGAATGGAAACGTAGTTTATTAACTGTCCTCAATTTCGCGGCGATGTATGTTGTGTTTAAATTTTTACTCAGGAGGAAACATTTCGAGAAGTTCCCCTCCGATTTCAGTGATTTATACATGGACTTGTTTTTCAGAAAAACGGATCTTCAAGAGTCATGGGCACTAATTCTCTTAGGGTATTTACTATCTCACTGAGCGCTATAGATACATAGATCACCCAGTGAGGTAGTAAATACACTAAAAGGATTCGTGCGTATGACTGTTGAACATCCGGTTTTCTGGAAAATCAATTTTTCAGAAACTCTGAAAATAACCAAAACCTTTTTTCAATGAGGCATCATTGTAGCCCGCAAATTTCTGATTAAAATGCGACATCTCCCACCTCTACACGATCTTCCGTTGCAAGTTATAGAAAAACCCTAAATGTTCATTGTCAGCTCAAAGCTACCGAAATATGAAAAAATTAATTTAGGGCTTTTCTTGTAAATTCTGTAACTTTGCAAAGAAAGGTCGTGTAGAGCTAGGAGATACCTCATTTTAATCAGGAATTTGCGGACTACAATTCTGTATTGTTAAGAAAGGTTTTGGTGACTTTTTAGAGTTCTCGAAAAACTGGTTTCTCAGAAAACCAGGTTTCGTCGTCAGCGAGAAAGTATGATAAGGCCGAGAAGAAAACGACATCTAAGTGTTAGATCATAATAGACGTCGATAGATAGAGCAAGAACAGTTGTTTACTCGCTAAGCGTGGGAAAAGCGGAATTTCCGAGACCGGATCAATGCCAATGAAAAACGTTTTGAAAAGATTTAAGAATTTAAGGCAAGTGGCAGAAGCTTAAAAGCGTTTTGTGATTTGTACATATTTACAAGTGGTATTATGGTCTATTCTTTATTCATTTAAATTTGAGAAATATTTTAAAAGAATCAATTCTAAACTTATCCTTTCAAAGTGCTAAAGTGCATGCTGCATCTGTTCACGGTCAACACCATACATTTTATATTTCAAAACATAATGTTTTATCTTTTCTTATGCTACTACTGTGTTAGGAACGCGTGATAATAAACATTTTTTAATATTAAGAGAACTATCAATGATTACTCGACAGAGAGATTCCAACTTACTACCTTAACGACTTTACTAGCCACTGAATTAGCTGTTTTTAGCAGAATCCGAATGAAAAATTTAGTAAGCTGCTGTTCTTGTTATAAGGTGCTTATATTAGTTGAGAGTTACTGCCAAAAGTTTATCGCAGCGAGAAGCAAAGTTCTTTTCTTAAAAACATGGTTTAGGGCTGTAAACATAGAACAGATAATCAGTTAATTTTAATTCCAATAAATGGTGACTTGAGCTACATTGAATATCAGGGAGAATTGACCGCCGATGTCTTAAAATTAACATATTGTTGGATCTAAGTAGGTTTGCCCGTTTTTGACTGTATGGCCAATTGTTCAAGCCAATGTTGATGTTGTGTATGCATTCTGCTGGGAAAAAATAGTTTTCCTAACCGGCAAACGAAACCATGTTGAACTTCTTCTGTTCGTACTATACAACCACCTTTTCCATTTGGCACGATTAACCACGCATGATAAACGTCAAGACCAAATGCCTTTCCCGTCCACGCTATTCGTTCATTTTCAACGTATTCTTTCACTTCTGATATCAAACTTACACCAAATGTTTTCCATCTAAACACTGTATCAGATTTCAAAACAGGCCCACTTTCATTTTCATATTGAACATTCGACGAGTTGTCATAATATTCCGGCCATTTTCGAGCATGTATTAACCACTGCCAGACGACATCTGCGGATGAATCCATTTCAAGCTCGTTAGTGACGTGAACCGCACATCTCGATGGTTCATATTCAACTGGCCATATGATTTTTGCCTCAGATGAAGACATTAAAAAAAGATATATGCTTTTTTATGAAAAAGTTGTTCCTTTCGAAATCGGAAGGACGTGCGAACAGTTCTCAAGTCAGACGGATTGAGTTGATTAATTAACGTTCTTAAATTTAGGTGACTTTTTATCATATGTTATATGTAATGAAAAATATATCATAAGAGTCCGCGTGTACAGTGAAAACAGAAAGCCAGAAATAATGTTATTTTCTATGTCAGAATGAGAAAGAAAAAAGGTAAATTTTATCACAGCAATGAGATGAAAGGTTGATAAGAGAGGTAATATCAAAAATGTCATATGAGAATTTGCATCACACTAATGTCAATATTTATTATAAATTATCCGGGATTACTTTTCTCTTTTACTACTCATGAGCTTTTAGCTGGAACACGCTTACTTCTGGTAACCATGTCCTGAAATAATGTTTGGAAGTGGTGCTACATTTTCTCGCTCACACTCTCAGAAGAGAAAGTAGCATTTTGGCAGAGGCCGAACCGTGTAAGTTTTTCTGAAACGGCCTGGTCCTACCGTTTGAAAAAGATCTCTGACTAATAGACTTTTCGTAAAAACCGCTGAAATTTTCTCATCTTTGAAAATAAGACTTTGTTATAAAATCACAGCTAGAACCAGGCCTGTAGCCAGGATTTTACTAAGGGGTTGCACTATATATGTAAATCGATATATCAGTTTTCTTGCAGTTCGTTTTCTGGTTGTACCGGTTCTGATGCCAATATAGCCGTCTGTGAGACAGCGACCGGTGCAAAAAACTAACAGGATGCAAACGATCTTCACATCGATTTACATCAATGAAGCGCTCGAAAAAGATGTAGATATCTGTTGCCACAGCTCATTTAAGCAACCGAAATAGCTTTTTCTTTACCTTTTTACTTCTCACTCCTAATAATGTCTTTTTAAAAGAAATGAAAGCTCGAATCTTATCTTGTCAGTGATTTCTTTTAGAAATCAAAATGTGATCGTTTTTATAGCAATTAAATAGCAACTCCTACTTATGGGGTGTGCCCGGGCACCCCCGCCCCCTGGCTACAGGCCTGGCTAGAACTGATACAAGTAAGTAAAGACTATTCAGATGGGTCGACAAGAAATTGTTTTTAGATCGGATTGGTTGAGGGCTGCCTAGGAAAGCTAAGGAGGATGGGAATCCCAAAATCCTATTTAAAATGGATCTAAGTATTAGTAGAAAACAGGCAGGCCTATATCGAGATGCAAGGCAAACGCTCCCGCCGGTTTCCAATCAGAAGAGGTGGGCCACAAGGTTCAATCTTTACTCCCACCTGCCACCTACCATGCTGCTATGGGAGATTTTTTGAGTTACTCTTTTTCCTTTTTTTTTCCTGATGATCTAGCGGCCATTATGGCCGGTCGAATAGGCAATCGATATACTGAACAGTGCCTCGACCTAGAAAAACGACTCAAACTATTTTTTGAAAGACTGGAACCATACGCAAACCTTACTATGCAGCCAATCAATTATCAAAAAACAGAAGCTCTCTGGTCTACATGTGCTTTAGGATGTCCAAAATTCGACCTTTTTTCTGGTGAGCATAAAATTAGTTGGGTTAAGACATTTAAGTATGTAGGATACTGGATAACACCTAAACTTGGGTGGGGAACTATGATAAAAAAATGTATGATTAGTATTCGACAGCGCGTTGCAATGGTTATCTCCTGCCGTATCTCTGAATCTACTTCTTCCGACTTAAGAAGAGCTTTATTTTCCTGTTACATACTTCCTATTTTACGTGGCTTTTTGCCCTTTATCCTCTTTTCTCCGAAAAAGAACGATCGGACTTGTCACACTTTTATTATACTTGTTTGAAGCGAGGTACTTTTAACATGCAATGGTCCGATTCCTTCGTCGCATTTGTTTTCAACGAGATGTCCCTGGATGATCGGTATAATCGATATTGGGAGAAATATTGGACCGCTCTGGCCGAATCTACAGACGGCGAACTCTTATTCGAACAAGCTCAATCAGTTTAGGTGTTGGATAGATGAGGAAAAGTCTGTCAGATGCCTGAGAAGGTCTAAAGGATTCGTGGAGCATACTACTGTCCCTGAAAAGTGCGTTAAATGGTGTGCAACAACACCTCCGTCTGCTCGATTCCAAATTTGGATATTAATGATATTTTACTTCTCCAAGCATTTCCAGAAACTTTTAGGTGAGGAATGATCGTTCTGTACTGACAGTTTCTTTCTAACTTTGTCTCTATACTACTGCGTTATTGTTAAGATGTAATTTATGTCATTTTTATGTACCTATTTACCATGTCAGATTTTGTTACTACTTATTAGGTCCAATGATGTGACGGGAAAAATTTATTCTGTTTTTTTTCTGCATTTCTTTTTTCTTTCTCTTTTCTTGCTGTATACTTGGCAGTGAAATGACCATACTGGTCATCAGTTATTTGCAAATAAACATAAAGTATGGTCAAGATCCGATTTATAGTTTCAGAGAAAGGTTCGTGACGGGGGGTGGGGGGCTCAGAAAATATTAATTTAATAATTGTTCTCATTGTCCACCATCAATCACTTTATGATTGTTCGCATATAATCCACTTGTATAAATACGTAGGGATTATGTTCAAATAGTGAAATAAATTCTTTACTATTATTTAGTGTTAAATTTAAGTAAATAATATGATTTCCTTTATTTATGTAGAAATATATTCTACTATAGAATAAGAATAGATAAATGACGTATAACTCCCTCTGCTGTTGCTGTAAGTGGTGGATATTGAGGATGAATATAATCAGATGGTTCAAAAAATATACTTTTTTGTCATTTTTTAAATAAAGTATTTTCATTAATCAAACTATAAAAGAATTTCCTATCACATCGATTACGATAGAGAAGAATCAATTCTTGAAAATAATTTAATTTTAAAAATGATGTTAAAAATGTTAGAACATAAATTTCATTTTCAACGGAATCTATTATTAATTTTAATATTTTTAAATTAGTAAATTTTAACAGACAGAATTCTGATAGTTTATAAAATTCTCGGACAATAATCTTATCTTCTGTTATTAAACTGGTAACAGTATGTTCCAATTCTGAATGTATGGATTTAAAATAGAATAGAAATACTTTATATGACCGACAAGAGAAGTTAAGCGTATGGTTATATTGGTGGTATGATAATAATTTGTGTTTCAATTGTTGATTATCTATTGATGGTGAATAAAATAAATAAAATAGAGTAGATGATGATGATAAATAATCACATATTTCATATAGAATTTCTTGCAGTAAAAATTCAAATTTATGAACAACATCGTTCATGAATGATTTAAAGAGACTACTTTATGAACATAATATTCTTATCCATGTGTCAGAGAAAGTGAGAAAGAGAAACAAAGAAATAGAAAAGAAAAATAATGATTAAAATTTCATTTCGATTATTTCTCTCATTATGAAAAAACAGTTAAAAACAATTTATTCTTGTTCGTTCGTTTTCTTTCAAGATAAAAGCTATATTCCGTCAAAATAGAACTGCACTATCATACACGAACATAGAAGAGAATGGGAATCGATTTCATTAATTACTTTTAAACCTCTGTATTCGTGTATCAGGTGCCCCTGACGGAAGTGACTTCATACAAGACAGATACATTTATCTGTCTTAAAATAAGACTTCATTTGTCGGATGACGAGACGAACAATCAAACGGTCTCATTTTAAGATACCTTGTCTTCGAATTTCATACTAATAAATTCTTATTACTTTAATATAGTGATATTTCGACTTGTACAGTCATTTTCAAACAATTCATAAAAGAAGTACAGAGAAATGAAGTAACACACACTAAGAACATATGACACTTTTCTTTCCTAAATAGATCATATTTTAGATTGTGAGCGCACAAAAGGTCTCTGTACTAGTGTTACAATTCGATATGTCAGCCTTTTCGCTCGCCCTTCTTCTGCTGACAATGACCACTGGTACATTGCTCATGGATTCATACACACAGCACACAGCAAAGGGAAAGCGTGGATTGGCTTGGGCATCGATAGTCCCAGAAGACATTAAACTGTTTGACAACAGCAAGCATGTGCCCTGGACTTAGAATTGGGCGCCTCATAAGATATACCCTATGAACGTCGTAGATCACGAATTCATTCCAGTGATCTGGAATGGTGTGGACATTAATCAACTGGCTGCTGTACCAGGAACTTTTCTCGGAGACTCCACTCCAAAAGTAGCACACTCGAATGATTTCACGTTATAAGAAAGCTATACAATGAACATCTACACTTTCTGTTAGTCCTTTTCTGTTATGAATAACCACTGCATAGCATTATTCTGAGTACGGAATAAAAAGGACATGTTTCAATACGAAAATGGAAACCATATTTAAACTAGCGTAAAAGTATGACCCGTCTTATAGCCGAAGAAAAACAGTAGTGAGATTAAAACATGCAAAAAGAACAATACATTTCGCGAGAAGAAAACAAGCTGACTTTCCAATTAATTGAGTTGAATTCCCTGTTCTGTTTTGACTCCTTCGAAATAACATTCCTCAGATTTCAATAGACCTGACACCTGTTGTTGTTTCGAATAGAATAGAATTCTGTCTAAACATTCCATCAGAAAGCTATGGTTTATATAGAAATTAGTTCGGCAAGAAAAGGTTTTTTTTTCCCCTTTTTTCCTGACGACTATGGGCTCTTTGTTTCCAGACGTCCGATTTTCACTTTTTTTCTGGACACCCCTCTAAATTGATGATAACTCCTTTTAGTTTTTGTTTTCCACTGTTATTTGTGAAATTTGTGAACGGCAAATTATATGATCTCCATCGGTGCTGTGTATCATTCTACTGTTCATTTAAAACGACAGATATCAAAACGCTTGTTTTGAAAAAAAGCTTTGAATTTCTCTAAATATTGCGAAAATG